CGACACCAACTGTCTGCCATCTATAATCCAATTTTGAGATCCCTTCCCAGACGCCTTAATGCCCACTCACATCCTGGGTCTTCTGACCTCAGCAAATCACATGATATCCTGGGGCTAGGTTTCACAATGAGCTCACCCGAAACCTTGGCTTGTTGTGACCCACACCCGTTTTCACACCTTGGCTCTTGTGATCAATAGGGGGTCCATGACCGTCTTGGGGGACACTCCAATAGGACTTAAAACCTGGGGCTCTTCACTAGTTGCTCTTAGAGCTGAAGAAGCTTCTTGGATGGTGAAACATCTTCAAGAAACCTAAAGAAAACAAGAAGCTTTTCTTTTACTTTTAATAATTATAATTCATTTTAGTGTTATAATTCCCTCGAAGCACAGGCAGAGTGGTTTTCAGTCACTGGTTTATTTGAAGACTTCTCTCCAAAGCCACCACAGCATTAACAAAATAAAACTCAACGTAAGACACAGCACCAAAAATAACACTGTACAACAAAACACGATAAATCAATAAATACCTCGTTGGCTGCATGCTGCAAAAAGGGGATTAGCTGCCGTTCTTCTAAGGTTTCCTTTAACCGTATGTAGTTAAAGTCCATCCCACTTAACATGACTTTCAATAGAGACCATTCTTGCTGCGGGCTTACAGGTGTTTTCCCCTTTTTTCTCCTTTTCTTTTTCCCAAAAAGGAAACTAGCGTGACTTGTAAGCATGCCTGACCTTCAAAATAAAAGCACCAAACCTTTAACTACATAAAATAACTTAACATAAAATAATGTACAGCTTAAACAATTTACAATGATGACATGGACCTTGGACAATATAAAGAAATAATCCAAATTATATAAACAATGTCATCATGCCAACAGCTACAAGTGTTTATAGTCTAACTGTTAGAGCACAGCCTAAATAAATACATAAAGATTAGAAACTAGGTACTGAGTCTTTTACTGCTCAAGCTAATTTTCATAATTAAGCTAAGACTAACGTTTAGCATTGTGACACAGGGTAAGTAATGGCAGTAGAATTATTAAAAGATGAAGTTGCACTCGCTCACAGCACTAATGATATCAGTGGGTTTTCTGTTAAAGTAAACCATGGCTGTTCCAAACATGACCTAAGGCTTCGAGGTTAAATAACACTGGAACACTGTAACTAATGGCATGCTAAACAAAATGACAGCTTTTCCATTTAGTGGGTTTTTCCATTACAACTAAGTGAAATACCCGTTTAAACCCAACAGTGCTTAGGCGTATACTATATTTTATATAGGCTGCTTAATTGAATTCAAATACCGCTTTACTGGCATTACACCCTTATCTTGAATTTTGGTATGTCACAAATGTAACAGTGCTTCATTGTGCTTTGAACTCATGTGAACCTTTTATATCCCATGAATTTAGCAGAAAATTATATCATATTGTGGTAGCGCATGATGTCAAGCTTATCAAAGCATCTTTAGCATTACATAACTGTGTTGCAATTGCAATTAATCAGGAATCATCCAAACAAGCAGATATTTGTTTTTGTTATGTATTAATAGCTAAAGGGTTGGTTTGTCCCAGATAACAGGTACATAGGGGACATTAAACACGGAGGTGACCACAGTGGTATGCAACATGTGACCTAAACATCTATTTTAGGTCAAAGCCAATTTATCATGCAATGCATGTTTATTTTCTGGCAGAAAAGTGCTCGCTGCAGCATTCTTTACAACTTTAGCATCACTTTATCTATCTGTTGTTAATCTGCACAATCCTTTATATTGACCTCCTTCCAACCAGCATGTAAAACAGACTTTGACCTAATCATAGATATGACCAGAGGGTAAAATATATAACAGGTCAACAACCGTCCCCCCTCCAGCCCCTCCACCACAACACCAGGTCATCAGCTCAAGCGTAATATGAGTAAACTTGTGACTCTGATTGTAGCTTTCAACATTTAACAAAAATACAAAATAAATAAGTAATTTAAAAGGGGATGCTATAATTTTATTACAAGCATTATTTCCTGTTTTCTACAAACTCAAAGGTTTTACTGTGTTAAATAGCGTTAATAATGTGACCTCGTTTTTTTAACTGCAACTGACTGCAAGCAATTATAAAAATGCAATTCTGCAAAGGAAAAAAGGTCTCTTAAGTTTAATTACAGTACAATTGCTCATGTATTTGTCTTCTTTGGTTTATAATACAGTAAATCAGCCTAGATTTCAAATACAAAAGAAAAAAAGCATTTTGCAAAAACAAAAAAAGAATAAGAAAAGACAAACAAACAAAATATTGCGCAGGAAATAATTACCAAAGCTGTCCCAGCTCATGAAAGTCAAAGACTACATTTCTAATCTGCTCACACAAGATTGATATTTGCTTTATCATCATATTGTCAAAGCGGCTCTCTAAAAAATAGACAAATCAGTCTCATTGTGAAGTAAAGCTCCTTATTATTGAACTGACGATTGTAAAAAGCTGCGAGCATTAGCAGAGCTGCAGAGTGAATAACCACTGCAACATGCAGTCAGCACATGCACCACCACCGAGGTAATTAAGTCCTCCAAACCCTTGAGTCATCGCCCACCTGTGGTACAACTGATCCATCATCAGACTTGTGCGATTTAGGCGGCCACAAGATGCCTGTTATATTGTTTCTGTTTGAATTATGTGCGTCACAGGTTCTGTTACCACCCCATCTAAAGACACACATACATACTCACATCAGAAGGACCTTTGATGAAAGCGCCTTATGTCTTTGGTAATTCAATACTCACTCCTGTGTCTCATCTTCTTCAATCCAAAGCCTTTGTAGAAGACAAGACACACAAATAATCTGTTTCTCCTTACTATGCGTAGATTCATTTTGTCATCCCTGCTGTTCTGCTGCTATTTATCCAAGAAGTTCTGAAGAGAAATTTACCCCGTCAGGGTCCTTGCAGCACTTAACAGTCATTAGCATGGCATGAAGCCTGGCAGCTTTTAGGAATAAAGCTAACCACTTGGTAATTGCTCCAATTTACATAATATGTGTAAATGATTGTCGTTAAAAGAGCATTAGCGATTAACGCTGACTACTCAAACTACAGGGGGACCACTGAGTCTTTAGAGCAGGTTGGCAGGGCAGGAGATGAATCCTGAAATCATTAGAAGTCGTGACATTTGAGCCAGCTTTTGTTGCATGCAGGTAAACTGTCTGAGTTGAGAGCAAAGAGGAACTACATCTGTTGAAGTGCTCTCTTAACACCACTGGCTATCTTTTAATTATGTCTTGGGTACTTTACTCTCATTTCACCACGTATATGTATCATAGGCTGGATGTATAAGATGGATGTAGTCACCCTGGTGTCAACATATGGTTTTGAACTCATCATTTGTTGCCTTAGCATTCACATCTTGGCCATCACCACTTTTCTTTCTTTATCTTTTCTTTTTTTTTTTCTGAGCTAGAAGTGACCATCTTTGGATGTTTAGTAATCTACATCTACAAACTGTATGCAAAGACAAATCTGTTTCTGTTAGCCAGTATGAATAACTGTCATCATGGTCACAGTAACTAGCTAACTGACACTCAGTTGGTCACTCTGGTGCACATCATTGTTGTTATCAGGCTGTCAGACAGAATACCACTAAAAAACATTGTGGTCATAGTAGAGGAAGTGGAGGAGGTAAAAAAGCTCAACTGTATGTCTGGGAAAGCTGCGGGAACAACAGAACCTGCTACCAGACGTGATGGATCAGAACAGAACATGGAATAACACCCCATACGAGTTCTGTGGGTTAAAAAAAGAGACCCTCCAACAACACACAAAATTAACCCCCTGAACCCCCCTCCCTCGCCCTGACCAAAGGACAGCTACTGGAGAACGCAGCAGCAAGCTCCCCCATACGACATGCATTCATCCAATAGGAAACAGCTTCCAGATCAGAACTACTAACTCGGCTCTCACTCAAGTCTGGAAAATATACTTGAAACCTTAATCAAGAATGAAGAGTGACTTCCCTCTAGACAAAAAGAGAAGAAAAACAAAACAAAACAAAGGGTAAGACTGACAGTGCGCTCTGTTAGTGTAAACAGCACAGCAGAAAGGTACGGAAAATGTATGGAAGAGAAACCCCAAAGCACAAACAAACAAAGATACTAGCAAACGCACACCCAGAAAAAAACAGAGGGAAAAAAGGGGGATATAGTTACATAGACAGTGGTAATGACGGTGACGCAAGTGAATGAATTAAATAAAAATAAAATAAATATATAAACGCTTCTACATCTGAGTTAAGACGTCACCTGACCGTATCTCAGTGAGTCCAGGCCCTTTGAAGAGGTTGTAAGAAAAAAGAAAAGGGGTTTATCGTCTGAGTAAAGGTGCTGTGTTGATCAGAAAGGCAGCCTGTCTCAGTTACTGTGCGGGCGGCACAGCGGGGTGGTTGTCGATGTACCAGACGTAATAAATCAGATCAAAAATCTACAGCAAGAAAATACTGAAAAGGAGGGAAAGACAACCACAGTGGAGTGGAAATAAAAA